AAATTATTATTTTTAAATTTAAATGTTTCTGTTCAGTGCCCTGAAAAGGCTTCTGTGGCTTGGCACTATATAAATAAACTGCATTGAACTGAATTAATTTAGTTATAAGGATATTAATAAAAAATGATTGGATGACAAGCTAATGAAATATATACTTTAAGATAAAACTTTTGGATTTCTAAGCTGATTTTTAATACCGTAGCTGTAAATTCAAAGCTTTTTATAGGAAAGCCTTTTTTTTTTTTCTTAAAGTGCAACATGAAGTTCTGGTTCATAGATGTGAATTTACAGATTCTCATTCATGTTATTGTTTATTTATAGGACAAGTGGACCCATTTTCTGGATTGCTGAAAACACTTCTCGTCTCATCAGAAATTGATCTTCAGTACTGAAAAATGATCATATTTAATTAAGTTTAGAATTAAAAGTTATGCTAGTTATTTTAATAAGTGATGATGATGACAAAGCTGTCATCATTTGGGTCCTATACCAACCTGAAGGCCAACATGTTGACCTGGTTCCTACACCTCCTTATGACGGTCTGCTCTGCGACCGGTCCTCCTTTATCTTCTTTCACTCTCACCCCCTTCGAGCTGTCTGTCCTCCCTCGGGGTAATTGTGGGGTAATTTATGAAGTTCTAGCAGCATGGAGCAGACCAGTGTATGGGACAGCCTGCTGACTGAGCCCCATTCAGCTCCAGAAAAGACGACCCGGACTCCTTTCATCCTCCTGCGCTTGAACACCTCCTCCTGACTCCCTTCGCCCTGCAGCCTTCCACAGCATGAAATCCTCCACGGCCCCTTAAAAGTGAAGGGGAAAGTTATTGGAGTCTTTAGTGACTCATAAACATCCCAGAGGATTTTCATACTGCCTTTGAGTCTTTTTGTTGCGGCTGAAATAATGCAATTGTTTCAGGCAGTGTAAATGAATAAATCACTGAGCACTTTATGATAACAAAGAGCAGCTCTCTCTGTTCTTGTCAACCCTTCCAGACAGTTGGCGAAACAGTTTTATATCTTATTCTCAATATATTACAGAGGAGAAAACAAAAATCTACAAAATAAAGCAAACCGATTCATTTTATATATTTCTGCTCTGAAAATGGAGCTTTGATATGTAATAAATATTGAGGAAAAGGGTGAAAACCAAAGCTGCCATTTCATTCTTTACTCTGCTCTATAGCTTAGATTAAAACCAAGAAGATCGAAGCGCTGGTCCAGTTAAACAATGACCAGCGGAGAGTGAAGGAGGCCTTATGGTACACAGCACAGGTTTGCTCTTCAGCTTAACACTTTATTGAGCCGTGATAGGCCCTAATCTTGCCTGATCCTCTGTCACTACAAGCATATGCCTGTAATAATGCCCTCTTTTTCTGGTCACCTGAGCACTTTCACCAAAGAGCACCCCAGGAGGCAGCAGAAAGCCTGAAGAAATGGATGTCTCTGAGCTCTGAATTGGATGATGGGTCCTGAAAGGTGGCATCTTGAGAAGAAAGTCAAACACTCTAACGCAGGGTTAAAAACTGAAGGATTATGTGGAAACATGGAAGGTGGCTACGCTTTCTGTTGGGAAGTACAAAGCTCAGAGACCCTTATGTCTCTCTGTGTGGCCCGTTGCCTACACAAACACATGAATAAGAATAAGAACGATTGGAAGAATGGGACTTATGTGGCTCATGCAGAATAGAGTGAGAGAAAGACTGATTCCACTCCATTATTCAGCTAGAGTCCCTTCAATCCCCATACATACTGATTGTACTTTTATTGATCCCCAGTGTGTTACATATTCTTATATAACTTTTACCATTGACAACCTAATTCAACGAGCTCAACCGTTTTCAACTTTTTTTTCCACTCGCCCTCGAGCAAGACGGATGCTTTTTCTTCCCTCTCCTGCCATCCTTCTGCTTTTTGCTCTCTGTCCTGTGTATGGGAGCTTCTATTTACACATCTTCCAAATCGTAAATTAATGTTATGGGTTTGGTCAGCTGGGCTTTCAACGCAATTGATTAAAAAACATTTAAACCAAGCAACAGGGTGCTGGAGAACCCTCATGCCCCGCTGAGGTGCACGCAGCTGGGTATATCATGGATCTGTGGAGAGAGTGGATGATGATGTGCCTTTCTCTGTTGTCTCTGGAGTATACTGAATATTTGTACAACATTGGATTCATGATAGCAGGGTTTCTGCTTTTTGGCACTGGCAGATACCTATGTTATCAGCTATTAAGAACGATGGCGGCAGCAGTTTCGGCCATGGCAAAGCTACTTACTTTATGTGAAGGATTAATTTGTGCTTCGAGCTCTTAGACTCAGCTGATTTGTGAGCTCAACGGTAAGATGGAAGCGATTTATGAGAATCGTAGGCCACTTGCGGCTCTGGACCTTGCCAGCATGTTGGAAGTGATCTTGGACAAGCCTAACAAGCACGGACCAGTGGAAAGCCCACAAATCTGGCCATTTTGGATCATGAGAGTACCAGCAGAAGTCAAGGCTGATGAGAAAAACAGTCTGCCTGTACAAAAAGCAACTGTGGCTTATCTGAATCTGGCCTCCCCGTTCGGCCTTGAACAAGCCAACTTATCAAATTACTCCTGGGGATGTGTAAACTAAGAAGACTCTGCTATATCCACCCCTGCACACACACCCTCAAGAACTTCTGTGAACTCTTATCAGAGCTGTATCGGCTGACACATTAGCATCTTATGAGGACTATGGTGCTATCTGGAAGTGTTTCAATGGACAAATCTCACTGTCTTGTCGTCAAATGCATATGTAATGTGTCTATAAATCTTGCTGGTAGATTTTTTTTATGTCTTAAATCGTGCCCTGACAAGGACAAGGTGTGAATAGATCTTTTTTTAATACCCACTATCCTCATGGTGTTTCTCCTCTTCTAAGAATAACAGGGGCGGCACATCTTTGAAGCTGTAGCTCCCATACACTTCTGTCCATCTTTAGGACGGCTGTATGGAAAGAAATGTTGTTGTGCTTCACGGTGCAAGGATAATAATAAAGCACTCTGATTCTGATTCTGAACTCAGCAATCAAATTTGGAATCAGTTTTCTTCAGTTTATATACAATAAAGACTTGTTAGAACTTTTGGAGAGAAATTGTGACTTGAAAACAAATCTTTGAAAGACTGGACAGTTGTGTCCAACATTGTTAATTAGTATTCAACCCAATTAATGAAGAAGAATCCTGCAGCCACATTGGCTCAAAGCCTAACGATGGGAAAATCCATATGCTCCAAATAACGGGCTTATGTTAGCTCTCAAGGTTCCCCCAATTATAATATCACTGAATACTGGCTGAGTCAAAGCACCCTGTGAGGCCCCCTGATGGAGCAGTGGTGGTGGTGGTGGCAAGGTGTGAACCTCTTGCTTTGAAGCTAACATCACTTGGAGAGAAATCCAACGTTTAAAAATAGTGATATCAGAGAAAAAGTAAATCAGTGGGGGGAAAATTAAGCATATCAAAATTACTGGATAAGTTAAACATTTAGTTTACATGTGGATGTGTTAAAGATAAATCTGAGAAGTTTTACACAAGTTTGACTTCCTTAGTTAGATTTTTCTCCAATACTGATGGAAGGATGATATTTTTACAGTGTGTTTTATAGATAACACGACAAGATTTTAAAAAAGATGAATCTTTAAACAATAAAATGCTCAACAGTTTGGAAAAAATAACATTTTATTGGGTAAGATGGATGTTGAAGAGGATGCATAAAGACAGCAGAAGAGAGTTGCATAAAAGCAAACCAGGGAGTCCTACTGTGTTCCACATGGACGGAAAGTAAACAGTTTCTCAAGCTGCCACATATTTTAACTACAATGTCTTTATTTATTTATTTTTGTCAATTTAATAAATCTGAATGAAATTTCTCACTTTCTTGTTGCTTTGCAGAGTCAATTTTATTTTTCTATTCTGTAGAATATAATTCTAGGACACTTTTTTTTTTTAAATAAACATCATAAACTTTTGCTACTTTGTTGGCAGACAGGAAGCAGGAAATTATCAAACTCAGTGGTGAAATCCAACCCCACTGCGATCCAAAGAAATGTGAGCCAAAAAACAAGCTCTTGAAGCTCTGAAGCCTAAAAAAAAAAAGATTTTCCATCTTAAATGAGCAAGATTCTAGCTAAACTTAAACAAATACAATTATAAAATTAAGAAGTGCTAAAAGCCTTACAAATGAATTAGGAGGGTGTCTGCTTGTTTAGTGGCTTTTTAACTACCTCCTCAAATGAAGAGCCCCCCTTCCAGTGATGCAATTTCACAGACTGTTTGGGGAGTCGAGTCAAATTTATTTGACCTTCTTTGTTTTAAGCTCCTGGCTGAATTGTACCCAGTCTGCCATTAACGCTGCTCTTTATATGTTCAAGCGCCTCATATGGTGCCTCATACCTTTCTCCAAAGTGTGTCATGGATACCGTATGTAAATAAGGCCTTGAAGGCATCATCTATCTGTGGATGAAGGCAATAAAAACTGTGGCCTGTTGAACTCGGGCGTTAACACTTTCACTTTCACTTAAAGGTTAAAGAAAGCAAAGAACAAATGTGGATTTGATCAATTTTTATTAAAAACCAAAAAATGACGGGTGTTTCCATAGTTAATAATTACAGCTCATCACAACATGTGAACGTTATTGTGTTGGGAATTCATCAGCTTAAGGGAAGTTAAAGTGGGTGTGGGAAGGTGAAGTGGGGGCTGCAACAAGGGGGTGTTAGAGGGGGGTGAAAGTGTGTCCCTTCTGCAATTGGTTGTGGCCCTAAGTGTCTCATTATGCAGTTTATTGTTCCTTTGTTGTGTCCGGAGTATAAAAACACACCAGCAGGCCCATGAGGTGACAGTTTTGAAACACTCTCACTCCTGTGAACAGACTGGTCTTCAAACTAACCAGCACAGACTCTCTGTAACTGGGAAAAAAAAAGATTTTAAAGCATTTACGTTTTCTGGGTTTGAGTATAATTTTTTTTGAGAATTCTCTGTTAAAATGGATTCGGACGCCGGTTCCACCTGCAGCCGCTCTTCATCCCCTGACCTGGTGGTGGATGACTCTGCTGGGAGTTTCTTCTCCAACAAGATGTTCCAGAAATACTGTCTGGAGAACCGACAGAGCAGCGAGGCCAGCCAGTGCAGAATGGAGCACTGCAGTGATGGAGGAAAGGCCAAAAGCAGATCTGAGCTCAGCAAGGAAGAGGTGCAGGACCTGAGGCTCAAAGTCAACAGCCGGGAGAGGAAGAGGATGCATGACCTGAACCAAGCGATGGATGGCCTGAGGGAGGTTATGCCATACGCTCATGGACCTTCTGTTCGCAAACTTTCAAAAATCTCCACCTTGCTGCTGGCTCGTAATTACATCCTCATGCTCTCCAGCTCCTTGGAGGAGATGAAGAAGCTGGTTGGGGATGTTTACAGTGGCAGCGCTGCTGCACAGAGCCGCTCCGCTGCTCACCACGCCATCACCCCTGCACCCACAGCTGCCCACCTCCCATTACATCCTCTGGCCCAGTCTCTTCACTCTCTGGTGGGCAGCGCATCTCTACAGCATCACTCCTCTTCTCCCTCTTCAGCTCCAGCTCCACACTCCCCTCCAACAGCAACCTTCCTGGGCTTCCACGCTCCAGTCCAGAGCCTTCTGAAGGACCCGCTGCACCTGAGCAGCTCCTACAGGCACTTCCCTGGCATGCCCTGTCCATGCACGCTGTGCCAGCCTCTGCCCACTACAACCTCCACACTACACAGCTTGTCTATGAACAAATGAGTGACGCACTCATTTAATGGACTGTTTCTGTTTGGATCAGAGCACAGAACCAAACACTTTGCAGGTGAAAGGACTGACCACACGCTGCCTGGTACCAGACTTGTACATTTTGTACAAATAAACTGCTGCTATTTGTCATTGATTTGTTTCTTCTGCTTTTGTGAAACAGTGATGTTTGACATGCACCTGGGATTTTATTGGAGCAGCAAAGTCTGTAATTTATCTGATGCCTTTATCGATGCCTCATTGTGGGAACATATGTTTGATCTTGTGCAGGATTTCTATTTTCCTAAATTAAAATATGTTTTAAAAGTAACTCGTGTTTTCTTTTTCATCATTTCATTTTTCCTCCTGACTGCTGTTTATCCTAAATGAGTGATGTTGATTTTTTAATTAAATTAAATTACTATGTGATGTATTTTTTTATATTTAGCAAAAATGTTTCAGCAAAATTAAAAGATGTATCAGTGCAAATGCTTTAAAGTGCAACAAAGCAACATCTTTTATAAGCAGAAGGGCTTTTGACAGAGCGTTGACAGGCCAAAAGTAATATTTTAGACAGAGTGTAATTTGTTGCAAACCAGCTTTGGACAGACTAACCCCTAAAAAGTTAAAGAGGGACAGGAGGGCGAGACAATACAGCAGCACAGAAGCTGAATGTGGCGTTCTTGAGCCAGGGGACCATCAATCTTCACCTCAACAGGGTGTAGGAGATGAAAGGACGACACAGGCGCCAGGACGGCGCGTCACTTTTGTCAGACACAGGCGAGGGACACAACGATGTCCTCAGCTGTAGGCCAGCCATTTGTCACTGTCTCATATGATTATGGATATAGGCACACAAAGGACAAAATAAGAGCAGAGGACATAGCGTGCTCACGTAAAAAAATACGCACTTGAATCAGGAGCTTTGTTGTTAATATGTCCAAATATTCTAACTTTGCATTCACTTGTATTAGTGAAAAAATAAATTATAGTTGATTCACAGAGATGATTGCTCGAACAAACCATAAACCCGAAACAGAACACACTGAGTGTCATGAACATGATTTAGTCAATCAGCTCAGCAATGGCTGGCTTTCACTTAGCAACAAATCAAGCGTGTAAAATACATGCTTATCCTCCCACGGCTGACAGATGAGTTGGAGATCAGGGCAGAAAGAAGAGATGTAACTCATTCTCACCCACCACCTCCTTCTCAGAGTGCTGAAGGGGTTTGAACAATGGCCATGCGTGGGACACAAAGGCAGGGGCAGTCAAAGCTCTCGTGCCTGGGACACAGACCCCCTCCATTCAATCTACATTTCATCATGGTAACAAGCTCTGCCGGGCCAAAAGGCCTGACACCCTCGCTCACCACAAAAGCGGTTAGCTCTAATATATGAGGCTATTGACACTGTAAAGAGCTCCTGTCAGCACGGGGGGGATTGTCAGCTGTGGGATGTCTCAGTGGGGGGAGGCAGCTGCTAGCCAAACCAAGCGATGGAGCTTCTGTCGTGGGGACCAGCTCTGCAGCGTCACCTGGTCCCTGCTCCCTCGACACAGAGACCCCAGTCCTCCCTTATATCAACCCCTCCTTTACTGGGACACAGGTGGGAATGGGAAGCAGAACACATTGTGGAGATTAGTGGGGATCGGCCTCCTTTTGCTCGAGGTAGATAATTAGAGACACCGACTTGTGCAAAAGCTGGTGTTTCCTGATTGGCACCAGATGGTGTTAACCCACAATGTGGCATCAGTGGTCTGGAGAGTCTGCACATGTGTGCGTGCATGTGGGTGTGATGACTGTGGTGCGTAATGGATATGCTTCTTAAATCATACAATATGGGCATGTCCTCTGTGTATTATGGTCAGCCTCTGCTGTCATCACTGTGGTCTTTAGCATACGTTAACCATGTGGCAGCACTGGTTTGAGTTTCAGTGTTAAAACACTCCAGTAATGTTATGGATTCAACAGTCAGAGGGAAAAAATGCACATTTTATGTCATTCAGCATATTATAGAAAATATATGGAGTACATTAGAGCTGCCTGAAAGAGAGGTTGGAAAAAATCTTAAATATTATTGTTGTTGTTTTTTAAAGTGTCCAAGATTTGAGTTCTTGAAACCATGTTGCTCAGTCTAATAAATATATTTTCACATTTTCCCCCCCAAATTAAAATCATTTATGTACTAAATAAAATCTAAAAAAAAAAATAAGTTAGATCGAAACTTAAAAAAAAAAAAAACATACTCATCTAAGGATACATAAAAACAAAAAGGAACCGATTTTGGTTCTTCACTGCAATCAAAATGGAAAAGTAAACTGTAACTGTAACTATGGCAATACTTTAAGTGTAATATTTATATTTTGTCTCATTTCTGAGTTACATTTTTATTTACTTTGTACAAACAAAACACATTTTTCTCATTATATGATATGCAAGACTCACATAATTTAAACAATTCCAATAAAAAGACTTTAGCACTCACACAGAGACAGACATAAAAACGCAGTGATAGAATTACACATTCTTCTTTTGTTCGTTTAATCTCATGCTCATGTAGACAGATGGATAAGTTAACTGATCAATGGAGGATTTTTTTCTCCTAACTTGGCTCAGTTCAACCTGCACTGACAGAGTTAATTAGGGGACTGAAAGACCCAATTAAGGGGATTGAGGAGCCGGACAAGGGAGACATATTGGAGGACATACGCACACATTGTGCAGCGTCTGGAGAAAGGCGAACTTCAATTAAGAGAGGACCCACTTCCAGAGGCTTGTTGCCTGTTCTTATTCATTTTGTGCTTGATAAAGCCCTCCCACCTTCTTCATCCACCCAGAATACTGATGAGGGGAAAGAACAGCTGCTTGGGGTCAACACTCATTTCCAATATGCTGAGCACATTTGCTCGCTTGCACATCCACAGATGTAAAGAGAGGGGGAGGAGGCTAATGACTGTAGTCAGGCCGGGATTACTAAACGCTGATTAGTTGACAGAATGACTCAGGAAGAAAAGCTTTGGTTGTGGCACATTTATTTTGTTCTATATACGCAGGCTATTGGTTAAATTAGTTGAATTAAAGAAACCTCTTTGCATTTATTTGAGATGTTCACATTCCTCATGGAAAGCTTGTTGTTGAGATTGTCTTTTCTCTTTGATGGTTTCCAACAACCATTTCAAAAGCTGCATAATGAAGACTTCACATGAATATATTCACACTGATTGATGCTCATAAGCTTTTGGACTTTGATTCAAGATTTTTCACATTTTGTGTTTAAGATATTTGACAGCAATACTTATATGTTATTAATGTTTGCACTAAATAAGCATTTGCAGACATATGACAGTCATTTGAACCATACAGTAATACCTAATGGTTTGTGTGAAATTACTTTTAAATTCTTTAAAATAAAGAAGTAATTAACATGATTCACTGAAATATAAAATAATGTAATTTTACCAAAATTTTCTAAATTACTTTAAAGTCAAATATGAACATTATTGATCTGTTTATCTTGTGTAATGTGTGCAATTAGTTTTTTGTGTGTTTATGTATGTGCTTTGGTTAGTTGCTTTTAAACAATGTGTGCTGTTTTCATTAATTACACTTTCCCTAAAATTATCAATAAAAAACTAAAACTATTGTTTAATTTTCTTGCTTGTTGTTTAATAGATATGTAAGTGTATGTCCATTTAAAATGATGTAATATAATTTGCATGTTTAAATGCGCCATTCCTTGGAGGAGCAATTTGCAATAGGTTATTTTTTATTTAAAAAAAATCATGATTATTTGTAAAAGTAGTATTTTTAAATTATGTTTTTCTCAATCAGTACTTTGTACCAGTTTTATTGTGATCCATCCCACGCAGCAGGGCTCTCATTGTCTTATGTTGTGTTTCATTATTTTGATTTGCAAAACTTTTTTTTCCCAAAACTATTGTTAAAATGCATTTGAAATTATTATTTTTTTTTTTAGAATTTTTAAGCTAAATGAAATGTCAAAACTCTCTTAAAAAATCTCAAACGCATTTAACGTTACCAATTCTAAATGTAAACGATGGAACTATTTTACTGCGTCAGGAAAGGATATATTTGTGCTTCAAAAAAAATAAAAAAATAAAGATGATGATAACTAAAAGTGTGACATAAAGAAATAGCTAAACTCTTTTTTCAACTGTTCTCTTTTCAGGGGTCATCCTCCTTCATCTAACCCTGTCTTCAGTGGCCTCTGTCCTACTTAATGTCCTCTCAGCGCCCATTAAAAGCAAACAAATATAACAAACAAACAAAAATTAAATGATCATTAAAAAAAGAAAATATTATGCGAAAAATAGGAATAAACCAAGAGGAAGAGTTATATCTAGATTATATGTTCAAAGAGGTCTAAAAATGCAAAAAGCAATTCTCAAAAGCTGACAGCACTGAAAGGAAGTACAAATACTGCTATGAGAAATAAGATAGAAAAAAAAGACTTTTAGAGCAGTACATATCTCAGTTGGTAGAGCTGTTTGCTCTCAGCAAGAAGGTCAAATCCCAGAGGCCTTTCTGGGTGGTTTGTGTGTTTTCTCCATGCATGCATAGGTTTTCTCTGGTTTCCTCCCACAGACCAAAAGAAAGCATTTTAGGCTAATTGATAATTCTAAATTGTCCCTATATGTGAGTGAGAGTGTGAATGGTTGTTTTTCTTCTTTGTCATGTGGCCCTTTGATGGACTGTAGATCTACTCCATCTCTCACAGTGACTGCTTGATATGTGCACAGGTGAACCTTGCAACCCAGAAAAAAAACACAGGTAAATATAATGGATGAATGAATGGATGGAAGGATGGATGGACTTTGTTTTTGCTTTCGATATGACATTGAGAAATACAAATCTGGAGTGGAATCTTCAGGAAATAAAGTTGCCTTTTGATTTAGAGAGGGTCTTGTACAAGGTAGCCGCTTCAAAATGTTTATTTATTTATTTGCAATAATTCAAGATAAAATAATTTAATGGGAAGTATTAATTTAGTTTAATTTATAATTTATTTTAATTCTCTGATGTGCTTCCTGTTCCCCCTCCAGTCCAGTAGGTGGCGGTGTTGCATCAAAGCGCTCCTCCCCAACAGCTGCCGTTACTGAAAGAAGAAGAAGCGCTAACTAAATACTGATGATGTCATCGTGTGAAGATGGCTGAAGGGTGAGAGGGAAATTATTTTTTGTTTTTATTCGTTTAAACCCAACAGATAGCACCGTTTTGCAACATGTGATGTGATCTTTATTATCTTGTGTGGCTTCTGAAAGTTTGTGGGATGTTTTCGTTGTAATTAATGCGCTCTAGAGCTTTTCGGAATGAGTTCAGGAAGTGTGGTTGTTTACAAAAACATAGCATTGATTACATTATTTTAGCTTGGTTAGCTCTATTGTTAAGCTCTTTAAATCACGAAATAACACCTGTGAGGCTATATACATGTGTGGTTTGCAGTTTCACCTTTTTTTTCTGTCGCATTAATGACTTTTTTCCCGATATAACCGATCCTGTTTTTCTGCCAGCTGACGCTAGCTAACACGTTATCTTTCTCGGCTGTATGATAACAGAAATATGTCATTGTCAGCATCTACAGCCCGTAGATCTAAATACACCGTTTTGGTGTTCAGTTTGTACTAATATCGTCTAAGTTTTATTTTGTGTTGAACACAGAGAAGCTTGGTGGGGAGGCTGGATTCAGCAGAGTTTCCAGGCCGTCAAAGACAAGGTAATAAAGATATGTTTACTTAGAATGGTGCTGTTTAAACCACTGTCTTTTTTGTTGTTGTTGTTGTTGTTTGTTTTTCATTCAACCTTTATTTATACAGGCTAGCCTCATTGAGCCACAGGGACTCATTTTCAAGAGGGACCTGTTCCAGACAGAACATATAAACTACAGACAACAAAACAGTAAACAATGACAACATTAAACTACAGTAAAAATGCAGTTAAAATAAGAGTAGTATACAAAGCAATAAATCAGGGTGCGGTAAAACAAGGTGCAATACTAAAAACAAGAACCTATTCGCCTTGATTTTTCAATTGACATTATCAAATGTTTGAAACCCCTTAAAGAAATCAAGGTGAACATCCTCTGTCCCTGTTGCCAGGTGTTGCAGGAGCAGAGTAGGGAAAGGCCTTTTTGCTAAGTTCAGTCCGCAATGAGGGAACGCTGCAGGTAGTGATGGCCTACAGTGATAGGTACGATAGTTACAACCAGTTATGAATCTTAGCTCGCCATGTTAGCAGCATCCAATATCTGCAAGGAGCTTGCAGGGGCATTCATTCAACCTTTATTTTTCTTTAGACTGGTTATTCCCAATGAGCCTCGAGGACTCATTTACAAGAGAGACTTGATTTCACCAAAGAATGGATGGACAATGTAATGTCACCATAGTCATTGGCCAGTAAGAAGGTAGTGGTTACACAGTGTTATCTGGCATTCAAAGTTAAGCAAGATCTATTTCTGAAAAAGAAACCCAGTTTTAATTTCAGTTTCTTTATCAAGTTTTCGATATGTGGTTTAAAGAGAGATGTGCATCGACCAAAATTCCAGAGTATTTGTAAGAATCTACAAACTCCATGCGTGGATGAGATATTGGGAAGAGTTGCTGGCATCGTCCTGGTCTGCAGTATTGCTTGCTGCTTAAGTTTGGAATTGGAATTCATTCCACCTCTTGGAAAATTCTCACTCTAAACAAATTGGTTGCTTTGTTTTTTTATGTGATTAGCAAGAATAAAAACACAGAAATCTGAACTGGTCAACCACTAATTATATTATAAAAAGTTGTTACGGCATTATTTAAGTTTTATTTATTTTGAAAATAGTAGAAACAAAGAGACAAAGCAAATATAAAAAATAGAAATGACTTACTATTTACAACAGAACAAATATATATTAATAAAGGTATTGCTTTATTATATATTGAACATGTGTTTTATTCCTGATAAGAATAAACAGTATTTTGCATTTTGTTTTGCTAACCTAATTTTAATTGATAGTAAATATGCATTCCTTCATTTCAGATCTGGAAAATGTTCAGCTGTGAATATTTAATTTTTTTTATATATATATATATTTAATACCTATTTGTGCTATTTCAACACAACCTTTTGAATTCAGATGAATCACATACATGTACTGTACATCATTTTTGTATAGAACACAGAGATTGCTTTACCCTCTCAACTTCAAACTGAATATTACTAAATAAAAACAACCCAAAAAAATCACATAAGCTTTTTTAATACAAATAACAATATTTTAATAGCTGATTGAGTTGGTTAAATCAATGGCAGTTGGTCATTTAAACACTTTTCTCATTAATGCTTCTCAGTGCTTTTTTCTATGACACAGTTAATCTTCTCCAAAAGCAAAACCACAGTGGTGTAATTTTTACAGCACATCTATATTGATAAAAATGGAATCTGACAGATTCCTTAAAATAGCTAATTGAAGACAAAACTAACCCAGACCTCCTGTGCAAGATTTCTTGTTCTTGCGCCTGCAACAGTTCAGGCATATTTTTGATATGAATAATTAGACGACACGTTGTTACAAAGTGATGATAAAACACTTTGAAATCTGTTTTCTGATCCACATGGTTGTCTTTGAGCTGCTTTGACAAGACAGATGTGCAACTTTCTTTTGAATCTTTTAAGAATGCGTTTGCGTTGGACTTGTGGTTGTCTTTTTCTAGACTGATTTTCTGATTTGATTCCAATATATATTTTCTTAAAGTAATAAAGAAAATGTCTCGCGTGTATTTATTCATATATATATATTTTAACTCTCTACCCTGCAGTCGTCTGAGGCCTTTGACTTTCTAAAGCGAGACCTTACTGAGTTCTCCACTGTAGTGCAGCATGACACAGCCTGTTCAATTGTGGCTACAGCCAATGCTGTCAAGAACAAACTTGCTGTAAGTCTCAACAGTTTTTTGTATGAATATCTCCCACATAACTTTGTAAATGCAAATCGACCCATTTAATTTCCGCACGTATTTGTCCTCCTTTCCAGGTGGAAGGCTCTTCTGAGACGACAGAAAAAGTGAAAAAGAGTCTGTCTAGTTTCCTTGGGGTCATAACCGACACTCTTGCTCCACCACCTGATAAAACAATTGATTGTGATGTAATCACGTTGGTGGCAACACCAGCAGGAACCACGGAGGTTTACGACAGCTCGAAGGTGGGTACAAAATAGGCCAGTGAAAGTATAACATTTTGAGAAAAACCTTTGACCAAACCACCAAATGATAAGATATTAAACGACTAGAACGCAAAGGTACAAAAAAAAGTTGCAAACAGTAAAATGTGTACGTTTGCCGTCATTTTCAAAGAAAGCAACATGGCCACATGCTGTATGATGTTACTACATTGATTTATGTTGCTTATAGGAACTACAAGCCATTAGAAAATATCAATTTAGTACCAACTTTTAAAAAAATGTTAAAATGAAAGAAAAACGCACAAAAAATAAATATGCCACTCACCCAGATTCTTTTCTCGTGATAAGTTACAACAAAATCCCTGCAATTTGTCACATTTGTTCCCCAAACATTCAAATTTTTCAGCATGCTCTGTGGTGCCAACTTGATGTAATACACAACGGTCTCGTAACAACGCCTGCTGGTTAGAAGCCTTTGTTGGAGGGTGGCAGAAATCTTACTATTATACTGTAACAATAAAACGTAAATCATGTGAGGCGATCGCACCAGAATTCAATCTTGTCTGTTATAGTCCAGCTTTAACTTGATTAGCTCATTACGTGTATTATGTGCGTGTATACCACATTTATTTTTGAAGCTCGAGATCCCTTATCTCCTGTCACAAGATGGCTGTAATTGATCTAATTTTATTTGCTGCCAGCTTGTTCTTGCTACACATGAACAAACACTAGTTTTTATTTTCAGCTCGATGGCTGTAAAATCTATTTAGTTCAAGACTTACTGTGCCCTTACTATAATAAATAAATAAATAAAAGCCCTCAGGGAACATTTTTTTTCTTTTTTAACCAGTATTTCTCTTCGTTGGTTTGGATGTAAGGTTTAATAGAGTTCTCAGTTATGATTATGGTTCAATAAAACCAAATTTCTCTGAAATCAACCGTTGATCTCACTGCAGTCTTTTGACATCACTACAGTTTCAGTGCAATCATCTGCTAACTGGTTTTATGCAAACTCATTTAGCCAAGCGATGCTCTTGTGCAGGTTTTGAAGGGAATATCAGGTTTGAATTTGGTCCAAGTTAGGTGTAAAATTGAAATTTAGCCCGCAGTTTGTTTTTTGTTTGTGTGAAAATAAAACAATCACTCAGTCTTTGTCCTGCAGGCGCGTCTCTACAGTTTGCAAGCTGACCCCGCTACATACTGCAACGAGCCTGATGGTAAGATAATGGTTTTCTTTCCTGAAACATCCTAAACATGCAAAATTTGATTTGTTCATGTGTGCGTTGTTGGTTTTTGTTATTGTATTTGTTTTATTAAATGATTCATTTTCTAGTGAAACTATCAAATATTACATTTATTTAAAATATTTTTGTTCTTCATAGGTCCTCCTGAGCAGTTTGACACCTGGATTTCCACTTTCAGTCTGGAAGATGTGAAAGGAGAAATCTCAGAGCTCCTGGTCAACAGCCCCTCCATACGAGCGCTTTACACCAAAATGGTATCACTTGTTGTTTCTAGCAGTTTTCTTCCTTTTTTCTTCAGATTAGAAGATTTTCTCTTTTCCGCAGGTGCCAGCTGCAGTTTCCCATTCAGAATTCTGGCAGAGGTATTTCTACAAAGTCTTCCAGCTGGATCAGGTACAGTTGCTGGAGAAGCTCCTGAGCTTTTCTCAGTTCATTTCAATAGTTTGTCTAGAGTGCCCCCTGGTGGTCAGCTTTTGACTTACCCTGGAGTTTTAATGCACATGGCGTGGTCACAGTTCAAGTTCACACTGCTTGAGATTAACGTTACAACATATTCAACAATGTTTTCGTTCCTAAAGCAGAAATATTAATGTAATGTGTCACTGTTTGATAGTTAACCCTTTACCCTGTTAACTCTTCTTGTACTATTATTTTCTAATAGTGTTCGTTTCCAAACTTGTTTTACTATAGTTGTTATAAAATCTGTGGTTACAGCAGGCCTGGAATATTTGCACAGATCAGGATAAATGTTTATAAAAATCACAACCACAATGAGATTTTTACATTTTTAGGATCATTAAATGCCAGTTTTTCTGTGATGTGTATAGGAGGAGGCGAGAAGAGTGGCCCTGAAGCAGAGGGCGGAGCAGAGTGCACACATAGAGACCCTGGGCTGGGAGGAGGAAGAGGAGGGTATGCTAGTTAGCTAACTAGTTCGAACTTTGTCCAATTTACAATAAAACCTGTCATTTAGTCATTTTGGCATTTCTACATTACTTTTAGATGACTTCCTTGGCGCCACATCTTCTCAACTCAACACTACACCCCCTTCTGAGAGCAGTTCAACCCCCCTGCCTGGCTCCTCGATAGCGCCTTCAGAGGCGACTTTGCTGAGCCCGCTCCTTTCTCCAAACGAAGAGCGTGACACCACCCTTTCTGTTAGCAGCGACAGCGTCAGCCTGCCAACGCAGGTAGAAGTGCAGCCTCCGCCCGCTGCCATGGAGCTTGCCAAGAAACTAACAGAAGCAACCTTGGAGGGTGTTGTTCACAAGAAACAAGACGAGCAGAGTCCCAGAAAGAAGGACTTCCCTCACCAAGATAAAGTTGAACCTGTAAAACATCCGGGGGCCACTCCAAATGGGGCATCCTTGCAGACCCCTGCCTCTAAACAACCGGGGAACGCAAAAGAAGAGGGGCCACAAGACCTAAGAGCGTTTGAGCTCAACTCTGACAGTGGGAAGTCTACACCCTCTAACAATGGCAAAAAAGGTACTGTTTAATTTATTTATTTATTTATTATTATTTGTAAGCCATAATCATCAAAATTTACAAGAAAGCAAGGCTTGGATTACGTCACTCTACACGCACTTTTTAAACGGGATTAGAAAGCAAAGAAATAAAGTTCCAGTTGATCTCGTTTTCTCTCTCCAGGGTCCAGCACCGATGTGAGCGAAGACTGGGAGAAAGACTTCGACCTGGACATGACGGAAGAAGAAGTTCAACTGGCGCTCTCTAAAATAGATGATCCTGCAGAGGTTGGTATTTATTAAAAAGATGAATGGTCATGTGTGAAGCTGACCGTGTTTTGCTTACGCTTTCCTTTTATTCCTCCTTTTTTTTTTTACCAGCTGGATGAGGACTGGGATAACTGGGAGTGAGAGCCTCACACACAGACTGTGTCGCTATTAAAAGCTAGTTCACGGCAGATGAACCATGCTTCTCGTGTTTTAACTCGTTGTCCACTCATGTCATGATTGTCAGTAGCAGATTATCTGGCTGATTTGGACCATATAAACCTGTTGTAAAATCAACAAGAAGACCAAGGCAATAAGAATTTACTGCTGTGTCAGCTTTCAGATTAGTGCAGATAAACCTCCAGAGGAGCTAATAACTCAGATCTGAGTCACATCTCGCTTGGAGCGTTTATGATGCTATATATGACACCTTGTAATCATTCTGACCTTAAAGCTGAAGGACATGCAAGTCGGAATGTTAAAAATTCTCATCAGCTACAGGAGAGGAGTTTTTTTTTTGTTTGTTTGTTTGTTTTTCTTTCATTAAATCCATTAAATGTTGCAAGTCTGTTTGAGGTTGATGTTTTATTTGTGGGCTGCAAAATAGCCATAAACTGTAATGCTGCTTGTCTCCTTTCTAAGATGGAAGTGATTTTTGAATGATGATCAACCCGTGTCCCTGTCTTTTCTTCTTCTTCACACATTTTTCACCTTTTATTATGCAAGTGAATCCTCAAAATAAGAATATATTAGAGTCCTCTTAACTCTAAATATGACCTTGTAAAAACACACAGCAGTGTTACGATGTTATCCAAAGGCTTTAGTTCCCTGTTTAATCGTAAAAATGTCAATATATGAGCTCGTTGCCGACTTGTTTAAATGTGTTGTAATATTTAGGTAGAGGGAACTTTTATCACTTGTCCTTGACTAAGTGATCATGTTAAACTTCATCATTTATTTGACTTTTGAGCTTCAATTTGAGGAAGTAGCGTTTGTTATTTTGACAGATTAGTGCAGTTTTAAGTTTCTCGGTTGGATGGATGTCGCAGCAGACTGTGCCAAGTAGATCAAGAAGCAATTTGAGCAGGCTACATTCTCTTTTTGCTTTCCTCCATCTGTACCGTATCAGAGAAACCTAGAGGTGTAATATTTATACTAAAATAAATGCTTAATTATTGTACTTTTGTGCTTTTGATTGCATGTTTGTGCAAAACATTGTGCAAATGGGTACTGTTGAGTTGTATGTTTTTTTTTTAGCTGTTCTTCAGGTCCTTGTGTTCAGATGATCTGTTGCATGCGTGTCATTTTTCGGCGGTGTATTTCCCTCGGTTTCACACGTCGAGTCAATCAAAGCTGTTCTACACGCGTCTGTTTCCAGAGCTGTCAGGTTCTTTTATTTATTTATTTGTTGGTCGAGCACTTCACTATATTTCTCAAATGATCACGAGCATTAAAAAACCACAAAACGTAGGATATGTGTCTTGCATTGTAGATTGATCCGGAACAACACTTATGCTACGCTACAAAATTCTTAATTTATATTTTCAATAATTATGTATTTGTAATACTTTGAGGAGTCTGTGCAAATAAAGTAGGCGTTTTAGTACAGGGGTTTGTCTGAGACTTTAAAATGATCTGACATTTTGCTCTGGCGATCTCAGAAATAGAGCTGTAAGTGGGTTTTTTTTTGTTGTTTTTTTTCAAAAGAAAATTGTGTCAAAAAGCAAGAATTAAATACATTTTCAGCTCTATTTTTAGGTCATTTCATAAGTTTGTGTTATTCGCAAATTGAGAATCAAAGGCCAAGTATTTTTCTGAAGATTTTCATATCACTAATGCAAAAGTTTAGACTAAGATATCTTATGTTGTGAGTAACTGTCAGCCCAGTGGGCTCAGTATATAATTCACTAAAGTTTATCTGTTTGGTGTTGCTAAAGTTGGTTATCGGTGATGGATGTTTTGAATTGGGGTTATTCCAAAAGTTAATCAGTTGTATCTCCAATAATTATCGTACATTCTGCAAGATTCATTTTATTTTTGGAGATATTTTATTTCAAGACAAACGGCATCAATGTCAAAGGTTAGCAAATGTTTGTGCTGTGCTCTGTGTTGTGAATGACTCTCAGCTACAGCAATATTCAGTTTAGACTTCTAATACAGTATCTGTAGACGTGACAGAAGTAGCAGTATTCTTATTTTCTAAAGTCATTTGGTGACGAGCATCTTAAATTCATCCAGTGGTTTATGAAATATTTCGCTGACGGGCACAAAGCAGTAGTAGACTAAATAATTAATGACTATTTTAAAACAAATACTGCCCGTAGAAGCTATTTATCCTTTTCACATTATACATTATTATAACTTGTTTTAATTCCTTTAGGATTTCTGTTTTTGTTGTAATGTATTGTTTAAAAAAAAAAAAAGTATTTGAAGTATTTTTTGATGATTGTGAAGGATTGGTAAAGACTGGGAACCCATAAATAGGTGAGCAGGTGTAGGACCAGCATTTAATGGTGTTTTATCAGAGCAGAGAGGAAGGAACGGGAAACACAAATGTTTTATATATATATATATATATGCCTGCTTTGAGAAACAGCCCCGTTACAGTAGTGGTATTTAGCTCTTTTAAATGGTTTGCCACTATGCTGCCTTTTGACGAGATGCGATAATTGCATGTGGTGAATAATAATTCCGTCGTAATACCTATTGTCACCACCAGATGGCGGTGTTGCTTTACTTATGGCACAGACCAAAAGTGCCACTCCTTTCCGCCGCAGCATCCATCTCACAGATCTCAATGTTTCTCTCGCGCAGCCGTGTTTCTCATCAGCCCTACTGTGGCTTTAATTCACGTGGACTTTGTTTTACAATAAACAAATATTTTTAAGTGCCTACGCTCACTGGTTGCCTCGTAGGAAGAGAATGAAACGTGTATGGGGCGTGTTTTTGGTGGTTTCAGATGGGTGAATGTAGGTCACAGTGGAGGGGACACCTGTGCAGCGTGCTGCCTCTGCAACATGGATGCTGCTCGTAAAGATGGCTACTGTCTGGGTTGGGTTTTCTCTTTTTTTCCCCCTCCCCACGCAACAGAATACGGTGGGTGTGGTTTTTCAAGAAGGGAGTGTGCTGATAAAACAAGGAGATTCATACTCATCAACCTTTTGTCAGTGTCATGAAGCATATCGCACTCATGTACTAATTTGTTTTTGAAAAGGCCATATTTTAAAGGTGTAGTCTGGTTAGTTTTGAGATGACGTTTTGTCAAATCCATAGTTAGTCCCTTCGCCGAAGAGCTATGGAGAAAAGTCTTAGGCAAATTGGCTTCTAGGGCCCATTTTTAGTTTTCCAGGCTTATAAAATAACTAAAATGACACACTGGTGTAAAAAAGCACAACAGTGCATTGGCTAATATCAAACGGCTGCACTTTTGCACAATACTGGCTATGTTACTAATTTTCTTGACTGAAAATTCATGCTACTGCACAAATCTTGAGAAAACGGTGACAAACTAAACAAACCGGGTCATGTAAAAGTGCAGGGGTTTTGAAAATGTGGCGTTTTTTCCACACCAGTGTGTTGTTTTTATCTTATTAGTATATATTAAAAAAATATATATATTTAGAAACCCAATGACCTAAGATGGATGAAGACTTTTGCACTTTTCTCCAAACTTTGTACTCTCCAGCACATAAGGTACATAATACTTAACAGCACATCACAGCCAAAACGACTAGGCTTTTCGTTTAACAGTCAAAAAAAGAATTTCACCTTTTCCCCATGTCTAAATTTGTGGTTATATTCAACAAAAATCATTAGTCTCGATAGTTCAGGGCATTTGTAATTTGAGCCTTGAGAGAAGTTTTTGTGGCTGTATTCCTTTCATCGACTTCTGCTTATTCAATAATATTCTGTTCTTTCATCCTTGCCTGAATGGTAATGGTTTGCACACATGCATCCCTAAGTGGACCCCAAATAACACAGACACCGTATATTTTACATTCTTTCTTATTCTGTTCCCACTCGGAGGCCTTAGTCAGCAGAAAGGCTGTAAAGGAATTTCCTGTTGTAACCCACCGCTCCCTGTGTCTGCTGTTGCATATGTGTGGGCTTTGCATTACCGCCGACTCCCACCAATGTCATGTACAGATCATTTCACAGAGAACAGATGCTGGGGTGGGGGGTGGGGGGGGTCAAATCAGCCTGTTGAGAGAAATACTTCTCTCCTGAGGATCTCTGCAGATCTTCCCGCTTCTCTTCGTAACCCATCCTTGACTGAACTCTTCCTGCTTCTCCTTTTCACTCTGAGTTTGGTCAAAGACGCAAACTAATTTGAAGAAACGTGCAAAAATGCAATACACGCCGAAAGAATTTGGATGAGGTCATTGTCTTGAGAGCGAGTATTCTTCTCGGCACCCTAAAGGGAGAAACCCAGTAACCTCTCTGCCTTTCAGTAGTCACAAAAGATTCCCTTTGAGGGAGGTGGTAGCTATGGAATGTGTTACCAGGGTTTTCTATAGTGACTGGTCTCCAAATTCAAGCCCGATTCAATAGTTTGGGGGCTTTATTTTAACACTTCACACGTTCTTTCTGTCATATAGGAGGTGGTTTCAGATTTTATAGTCCAACAAGTTTTTTTCCTGCGATAGAAAAAGAAAATGCTGCAAGTGAGCAAAGAATTAATGCATCACTGAGCTTTGTGGGGGGAATAAAAAAAAAAACCTTCTAAAGGACTATTGAGATGCCTCAGGATTTTTCCATGACAAACCATCGCCTTTCCCAACGTGGAGCAGTGGGAACTACTTTGTTTGTATGAAGTGCTTTCTGGGAAGAATGTGAAGTTTAGTCCGGGAGGGTATGGTTAGGGGGTGGGGGATAACTCCCACTCCATTCAGAGTCATGGCGAAGACAGAGGGGCTCCTCTGGATGGATGTCAAGGGACCGGCAGAGCGCCGCCCCTCTGTTCCAGGGCAGCCAAAGCAAATGCTGAATCGACCAAACCCTGGCTATTCTTTTCATCCCTCTCTGTCTTTCTCTTCTGCACATTTCTCTTCCATCATTAGGGAAGGTTTGCAGCAGTCTTTCTGTAAAGTGTCTAACACATATGGTGCGCTCATATTTCACTTGTGTCACAGGGGTTAGTGTGGGCTGTGGCAGCCAGTCTAAAAGTTCATTATAAAACAGAGTTGGGGGATTTAGACATAGACATGTGTGTTTTTGTAATGAGTTTTGTGCAGTTTTCTTAATGAGATATGTAAGACAACAGATTTCATTTAGATTTTTTTTTTGATACACAAATGCTTAATGTGAAGTCAAAGGCAGTTTTTTGAGACTAGAGTTTGAAATTTTTTTTAAATCATTGGAGAATAGGTGTTGCTTCCAGGCAATCCTGCTCTTGGCAATGTGTTGTAACTTTGTGTCCAAGCGATCAAAGTCTCACTAAATAATTGTTTGGCATTGTCAAGAACATCTTTTTACTTTATGGCCTATTTTTTTGTCCTTCGGGTTGTTTTAGTGCCACTCCTGGCCAAAGGAGCAATTTTTGTTTTTTATTTTTTGCTTATGTCTGTGTGTGTGCTCATTGATCCACCCATTAAAGTATTTCATGAACCACTGGATGAATTATAATGAACTTCCTAAAAAGGTAATCATTGGGCCATTTACGATTCATTTAACTTTAGAGTTAATCCAATTCAAGCCAACATTTTTCAGTCAGGTCATCTGGACAGTTTTTTTTTTTTGTGCTGAAACGTTTCGCCTTCGATCCGGAAGGCTTCATCAAATCAAGGAAACACACAACAAAACTGATTCTTCCCCCAACAGCTTACTTCAAAGTGGAACAAACCAGTTCTGCTTGTGATAAGATTTTGGATTTTATACCTGGATTATTGAGCATGGACTTTGTTGTTATCAACTAGTTTGACAAGACTGTCAACAAGGAAGAGGGCCGGCAATGGAGGAGGGGGCGTACCAAAGAGACCATCTTATCACAAGCAGAACTGGTTTGTTCCACTTTGGTGTAAGCTGTTGGGGGAAGAATCAGTTTTGTTGTGCATTTCCTTGATTGATGAAGCCTTCTGGATCGAAGGCGAAATGTTTCAGCACAAAAAAAGAAACTGTCCAGATGACCCGACTGAAAAAT